AAACTCACAACAACTGAATATTCCCCTGTGCAAAACCACTGCTGGTCAGAGATCTTTTTATTACAGAATAGTAAAACTATGGAACTCTTTAGACAAAGCCTTAAAACTATGCGAGAGTCATGCAAATTTTAAGAAAACTCTGAAGACAAAGCTTCTCAGCGAGTTCTCAAATTAAATTTTTTTTATTTCTTTCATTTTTCTTCCTTTCTCTTTTTTTATATAATTAGTGTACTTCATACATAATATATAACTAGTGTACTTTGTACTTATCTCACCTCATGTATTATATTGTTCACTGAAAAACCTTTTAAAGAGTGTACAATAAAATTTTATCTTATCTTATCTTAATTTCGTCAAAATTCGTTTGCATTACTTTTGCACAATACTGTATATATCAGGTACTAATAAGTGGCATATGTTGGAGGCCGCTACAAGATGATCTTCTGCGTGAGTTGTATGGGTGTGTAGTTAATAACCCAGCCTTATGGTTCTTGAGAACATTAGTTTTCATCAAATGTAATATAATTTAGATAATGACCATTTAATGTGAAATAGGACTTTAAATAATTCTTACGATAAAATGTTTGTATTAGCAGGGATATTCACATATTTTGGTCAGTAGGAAAACTATCTGTGCAGCCCAAACTGACGCAATACGACGTTTTGTTTGTTCGCATTCTCAGTTTGAGAGTACGAAAATAGCCCATTCTGTTGCAGAACTAGAATGTCAAAAAAATGTCAAAAAAATTAGAACTAATAGAAAGAAACATTCAATACTCCAGCCCCTCTCTGCCAGTAATCACTCTGTTTTATACAATGATTATACTTGTAGTTGATTTGTTGTCAGCAGATCTTTCACGGTATATATTGAAGTACTGTTAGTGTTGTATTTGTTTTATTTGAATTGTTTGTGTTTTTTTCCAAATATTTACAACCATAAATCCTTTACGAAACTGAGCAGCTCTTATTTTGAAAATTTATGTAGAGCATGTGATCTTAATATGTGCGTAATAACTAATACAGCTCTTAATTGTGTTTGTGAATTGATCATCAGATTCTTCCAGTCAGCAAATCAAGTCAGATGATTACATTCTATTTTGAGAATGGGTGTGTTGCCACTCTTCGGACAAGTGGCACAGAACCAAAGATTAAATATTACGCAGAGCTTGCTTGCCATCCAGGAGACAAGTACGTGGATTTCTTTAATTGATTGATGATATAACCACAAATTTCAGGTGCAAAAAGAGGTGCACCCAGTATAAGCCAATGGGCCTGCATACACTCAAATGCCCTTTTTGGAGAGCGTCTTTTGAATCTCAGTGCATTACCTGCAAGATCAGAGACCTGCTTAAACATCAGTGTAGAACTTGCTTTGCGCTTTGTATCATTGTGATTGAAAGTTACTATGGGTTATTCGTGTTTGCACTAAAGTGCTTTTGAATGCAGCATGCTCTCCAACTATGTTAGCTGGTAAGGTGGTCCCATCCATCAACCTCTATAGAACTAGCTTTACGGGTTTGACGTAAGTTTTAAAGTCTAGGCCATGGACAATTTGAAAGTCACCAATGCAGAAAAGGCATGCCTCTAATCCATCAGGGTCTGAAAAGTAGCTGATACATTACATAACCGTAAAGTTGGTATGGTTTTCTTCTGCAAAAATACAGTGTTTTCTTCGGCATCTCATCTATTTTGACTTTCCAGGGATGTGATCCGCCTTCAGAACTAGGGTAGAGAATCACCTTGAGTAAAACAATGAATTAAGTCTCAGTGAATCTAATCCAGTTTCACAAGGGGATATTAATGATGGCAAGCAATGGCATTAAACTAACCAAAGAGGAGAGAACCTTGCCACGGAAACTAAAATCTCAGCATTGATATGGACATTAAAACGACAGACAAGACTTGTCTCCTGGGGGTTGTTCTTGACAACAAATAAAAATTGGACAATCACGTTTCTAGTATTTGTCGCAAAGTAAGTGCGCAGATAAGTGCTCTGAACAGATTGAAGAATATTTTACCACCTAAAACTAAGGAATCGCTATATCGCACACTTACACTTCCATATTTTAAATATTGTAACAAAGTCTGGCACCACAGCAGAAAAAGAAACACTGCTAAAATCGAGAAAGTCAACAAAAGGGATTTGAGGGACATCTTCAAAGATAAAAGTACATCTTATCAAGATCTCTTGCAAAGAATCAGACTCCCATCCATGGAAACTCGAAGAATCCAAGACGTGCCATTGACAATAAGCAGTAATTTGTATATCACCTTACGCTCGTCCAAGTATAATCTTCAATATGACTATATCCTTTCTTTGCCAAACATCAACACGACTAAATATGGCCTCAAATCATGGAGATATTTTTTCCGCAAAGAAATCAAACAAGCCAACAAATGAAGTAGGTGGGGGATTGAATAGATACTGGTCAATTTTTCATTACTTTTGCGTGTTTGCCGGCTCCCAAAGCTTCACCGGCGATCCGGGCAAAACAGCTCAAGATGTGCCAGTATCTATTCAATCCCCAACCTACTACTGTCACATGCCCCGCCAAAACTCGTTTGAACATTTGCGGTTACCTATTATAACTAAAAGAATGCCTGAATCAGACAACCCTGTTGAACCCCCTCACCAAGTTAAGCAACGTTTTTGCAACGAAGCGGGTGATAAAGATGTCGCAATCGATGGTAAGTCATTAAAAAAATCACCAAGTGCTTGGTCTTTGCATGATTACCTTTGTGAAGCCCGTGGGAAAATGTTCACACAATGTTACAGTCTTCACAAACATAGAAAATACCATTGTAAAATGTTAGAAACAGAAAAAATGCCAAAAGAAAATTATTATTCCTACCAAACGACGTTGTTGAAGCCATGAAACGAATGAATCCACACAAGGTTGTCAATATTCTCGTCGCAAAAATAAGCTTTGCATGACAATGTTTTGTCACGGTCTGGTTACTAGGCTCTTCTCGGTCGAAGCATGGCTACAACTGTTAAAATTTAACTTCGGAATTTTAGTTATGCACGACTGGCCAAAAAGACAATAAAAGTTCACATCGGGTTTCAATTTTGTGAAATTTTTCAGTGAAATGCAAGGCAATTTATGAAACTTGATATGCTCGAACGATCAGAGTAAGATATTGTTAACCCCACTTCAGTGACGTCAATAAGGGAAGCCCCCACAGATCAGCTGTTTTTTCTGCTTCAGAAAGCCTCTCTTTGTTCTACTGCATTTTGCACTCGATTTTTACTTGAAAAAAGGTGAAAAGTGTTATTTTTATTGACCAGACCGAGAAGAAATGATGTATTCTAACAAACTGTGGGGAAAAAAAGAGAAATCCAGCTGTAAAATTCTTCTTGGCTTCAACATTCCTGAAGGCTTTGAAAATTCCTGTCGGCTTTAACTGAAGCCAAGAGGAATGCCACTGGAAGCATGTCAAAACGATACGTCATGTAAGCACTCAACCACTGCTCAAGTAATATCATGCATGATTTTTTTGCCACTCTGGCATGAAATATTCATTTATGAGAAATGCAATCAAGTGGAAACTGGCAATCATGTTTTTATAATATGCAAGTGAAACCGTGTGTTTTCAAATGTTAATTCGAACCTCCAGCAAGGCTACACAAAGTGCATGCACAGCAGGTCTTTGATTTCATGCTTCTTTGCATCTTTAAAGAAAGCGTCTAGGAGCTGGTCATTAAGAAACAAATTATTATTGATTATTTTATGATTGTCCTCTGAATCAAAGGTTTTTTTATCTAGCCCAACCCATCTTGTGGCGGCTTTTGGTTCATTTTTTTGCAAAAACACAACAAACGCATTTTCTCTCTCCGTGTGGTTTTTAATAGCATTTATCTGTTTTCATTCTTCAGAGTCTTTTTCTCCAAAATATATCAAAAATAAAATATTTAAATCTCAAAGAATCTGTTTTCTAATGAATTCACCATTGTAAATAACAAAACCTCGTTGTGGTATATAGGTTTCAGCCCAAAAAATTTTAACATACGGTTATTATCCCCCATGCTTTCAAAATCTTGGGGTCAGTGAAAACAGTATTGATATAGGTGAAATCGTCGTCACACCGAGCCATCGGGTATACCACTAGCTTTTATGTGTTTAATTAAAGCGGGCAAAACTGCTGGCCACCAGAACCTCTCAGGAAGGATTTTAATTTTAGTGCATAACCCACCTGAAAACTGACAATCATTTTTTTATAATATGCAAATGAAACTGTGTTTCTCATTTTCCTCCTGGCTGCGGATGTCTTTCTTAATCTTTTCAATGTCAGCCGCTTTACAAGACAGCTGACATGTCAGTTTTGCCCTCACAGCTTCTTTTAGCACATTGTGAAAATTCAGTCATAATAAGTTGGAACTCTGCTTCAGAGATCTTGTTATCTGCCAATGCTTTGGAAAGAAGCCAGTCAACCGTTTTACGTTTCACTATGGCGAGCATGACAATTTCTTGATGCTTCTTGATCTTTGAATCAAGCTTCTTGCTGGTGATTATCAGCCCTGAAGAAATCAAAGCGAAACAGCCACCAACACCACTTAGTGGAATTGTGGCCAGCAGCCCAATGACAGACAGAGCCAAACCAAAACTCGCGCTTGAAAATGCAGCTGAGAGAACGCTGGAGCCAACAGCGCTCCAGTTAACCACCTTTTTCGTTCGTTTATACTTTTTGTGAACCACTCGATAGTGGGCGACCTCGTTGTTCAGAGCGTTCAAATGTCATTGATTTTCTGCAACCGAAAGTCGGGCTGCAGTTGGGGGTAGAGAGGCTGTGGTGAAGCTTCAGGAGGACCGGACGGCAAAACATTCGCAGACGACATTGTATAAAAAGCATTTAAATTATTTCTAATTCAAATTCCAGAGGCAAGCCCTTGAAATGAAAGGGTTCGCCATCTTCATCTCTGACACTGAGGGTGATGCTATGTTCAAAGGTGTCTGTGGAGCAGTCATGCAAAACTTCTTGTGGGGGAGGATGATAGCTTACTTTTTCATAAGGCAAGCCTTTCATTTTAAATTTAGCCAAAACATCCCATTTTTTCCCATTCAAAAGGTTTTTGGTTTTGTTGATCAGATCACAATGAATGAAGTAAATGGATGGGCTGTTTAGCTTTTTGACATAAGTTAACACACCTAATGTCAGCCCAGTGCCAATCAACCTGGCCAAAGCGTGACTAACTGAAATTTGTTTTTTTGAGATTGGGTCCCATCATCATTTTTAGCACAGAATTGGGTTTATTTGGTTCTAATTCCAATTTTGCCTCGTTCTTATATTCTTTCAAACTCGTTGTTAGCTCTTTTGCGAGGCTATCAACACAGTGCTCTTAATTAGCGGTCGTCCGGTTGTCCGAGACGACCAAAAAGTTTACCGGGCAACCAATTTTTGGCAAAATCAAGAGGCTGGTTGCCCAAGTAAAAATCAACAGACAACCCAGCTAAAAATAGAAAATAAATTCATCATAAACAGCACCCGACTTACGTGACGGTTTTGTATTGTCAATGTCCGACACTGTGAAGTTCATAATAATTAATTTGCCTCAGCTAAGCGTTTGCCTGTGTTTTGGACATCTGTAAAATTTACAAAACATTGCCAGGTACGAAAATGTAAGAGAAAAACACAAAGTTTCATGTCTGGTGGCGATCAAGATCAAAGATGCCATTTTGAACATGCCACAACTCAAACCCAGACTTCCGCGAAAACCATTGGCGTACACTAAGAACTATGGGATTAGTTCAAGCTTGACCGCCATGTGATTCTACACGGCATGTAAATAAAGGTAGGATTGTTACAATAATTGTTGTCAAATTCTTTATTTCTTTACGATGGAGACAAAAATGGATGTGTTCTTGAGTAGTGCACTGAAATGTGTAGGTGAGGTAAACAGGCAAGCTCTGTACCAGACCCTTTGAAAGATATTTGCCCCGCTCTTTCTACATTATGCCATGAATTGGCAAGGCAACAAGAGATGAGTTTCATGAAATGTACTTTTGGAATCAGCTCTTCAAAGAGCTCAGTTTGTCCGTTCTTTTGCATGACAATCGTGAGGACAACCATTTTTCTTCTTCAAAGAAGATATATTGTACAAATATAACACATTCAAAATGGACTCCCACAAGAAAATTCAAAAATGGATGGAAACACCAGAGGCAAAAACTATAGAAACCGCGGCACAGAAGAGTGCATGGGCGGTGTTCACAAAAAAGTTTCTGAACATGGATAAAAGCAAGTTTGTTGCTCATGTTGAAGTTGATGAAAAAAATAACGTCAGCCAGAAATATTTTTTAGACAGCCCTACTTCATTGCAGAGCGTTTTTGGCTCGACAAAAATTTTTTTAGCGAACGGATGAAAAGTGTGCTCGGTTTGATGGGCGTGGTACGCTTTCCTTATCAATTGTCACTAATGAAAACAATAGCAGCATTGCCAATCCCACCTGTAGATTTCACAGAAGCAGCGCCAAGCCTTACGAAAATATTCAGTGCCCAGATGAACATCTACATGACACCAGACAGCTACTTCGCGACAAAATTCCGCAACATATTCCAGAACACCAGACTCAAACGCACCTCTGCGGCAGAATCAAAACGGTGGTTGGGCGGCCAACGCATACAATATTGGCCTCAACAACTCTACTTTGCTGTTTTCTGCACGACAGAGGGTTGTGGAATTTCTCACAATCTTTGACAGCGGATTGTCTCTGCCGCAACAAATAAGAGCTTTTCATACATTTCATGTGTATTTCACGGTCAGGCGAATTTTGTTCGAGGTGGGGGTATTCAGAGTATAAGTGCTTTGCCGGGAGATCCCACGTTCAATCAATACAATACGAGTAATCCTTATGATGAAGCTTCATACGACAGAATCTGCGATGAGTTCAGAATAAAGCCATCGAGCAATTTTCGCTTCACAAACAGGAAAAACCACGGGCTAGAAAGCGTATACATTGGCGCGTCAGGGCACGGAGCAATGAAAACAGGAACCTCTTATCCAGGGTTCAATAAATTCAGTGATGAAGGAGGGGCTGCAACCAAAGAGAACTGGATTTCTAACATACAGCCAGGTGTAATTGCGTCCACTCAGTATGACTGGTTCGCTCCAAGCCAAGGCTCTGGTTTGACGCAGGCGGTGCTTTCACTTGTTAATCAGTCAATCAAAGCGTTTACTGCGCCTTGGGTTCGGAAGTAAACATATACAGCAGTATTCTTGGCGAAGGAGGTGGAGGGAAAGAAGCCCAGAACAACGGAAGACGCAAAAAGACAACCAGACTTGGCCAAGAGCGTGCAAAGATATCAGCTTGCGGGATGAAGCAAAAGTTAGACTCAATCTTTCTGTGTGCCTTGGGGCATGGCTAATGCCCGCGAGCATGATCATCAACACAGAAAGCACAGTTGGCTATAACAAAAAGCTCAAACAAGAGATTTCTGGTATGAAACTCCGGGCCAACAATGCAATGAATCCAGGTGCAAAGAAGGCCGGCCTTAAACTAATAGCAGGAGGGCCATCAAAAATTAACCCGCCAAACAGCCACCCTTCAAACCTGATCAACAAGGCCACAAGCACTTCGAAAGAACCCCCTCCCTCACTCACACAAGAAGGGTAAAAAATAGAGCCCACTGCTTCGCAACAAAACCGCTGTCATTTTTGGTATGGTAGAAGTCGTGGCTTTGCTGTTCATGGCGCTATGTTAACGCCGCTTCTTAATGTATTTTTGAGTTATTTTTTATAAAAAATACCTCTTAGTCGACGCGTCAGGTATGTTATGGACAGGTCAATGGATTGGTGAGTGAGTGAGTGAGTGAGTGCGTGCGTGCGTGAGTGAGTGAGTGAGTGAGAGATGTACGTATGTCACACCAATCAGATTGGATCTACTATAAACAACCAATCAAATTTTTGAGTTACTTTTTCTAAAAAATACCTCTTAGTCGGCGCGTCACGTATGTTATGGACAGGTCAATGGATGAGTGAGTGAGTGAGTGAGTGAGAGAGAGAGATGTACGTATGTCACACCAATCAGATTGGATCTACTATAAACAACCAAACAAATTTCTTGTTGTAAAGGTAAACTGTATGCGAGAAGATTTGATCCCGATAGAGTTCAGAACGGCCACATTTATTCTTCTATAAAATGGAGGAAGTATTCATATATTGGGTTTACTTCGACATTTTCTGTGGGCAAGGCTAAGGATTTTAGTTATGAACGAGATGAGCCCTGAGGTTTGAAACAGTTGGTGAGTTAGTAGTATGCATATGGCACAAGATATTTTCATTTTTAGTTACAAAGGTAACTTGATACTCTTGTTTTTCACAAGGAGTAAAATCAATTACAGGTCACGAATCGTCGCTTCTAGTTCTTAGGACATGTTTTAGAGGAGACGAGACTATTTAGATTTGAAACACTTC